AGCTTGCTGGGAGGTTTTGTCAGCTTCGGTGTTTTCTCGGCTGAGGAAGGGAGGGATTCGATTCGGTCATAAACGCGGTTTGTGTGTTTTGGAGGCTGGATGCCCTCTTTCTGTCTCAGTGTCGTAGATGCACAGTCACAGAATGGTTTGGGTTGGAAAAGGCTTTAAGATCATCCGGTTCCAACCCCCCGCCACGGGCAGGGACACCTTCCACTAGAGCAGGTTGCTCCAAGCCCCTGTGTCCAACCTGGCCTTGAACACTGCCAGGGATGGGGCAGCCACAGCTTCTCTGGGCACCCTGTGCCTGCACCTCAGCACCCTCACAGGGAAGAGCTTCTTCCTGGTATCTAATCTAAATCTGCCCTGTTTCAGTTTGAACCCATCACCCCTTGTCCTATCGCTCCAGTCCCTGATGAATATTGCAAAATCTAAAGAGTATCTGATAACTCTTGCTTTGCTCCTCAGCCCTTTAATCCTGCAGAGGAGCTCCATGAGATGGAATGGAAAGGTCTATGAAGAGATCCCGATAGCTCACATCAAAGCTACCTACAACAAGTAAGCAAATCAGCAGTTGCACTCGTGCTGCCGTGCAGAATAAAAGCTTATAACACACCTGGGCTTTGGCCAGCCAGTGTTTCCATTAGAAGGCTTAAAGGAGAAAGCCAGAGGAGTGGTGTTCATGGCTAGGAAGGATTCAAACCTCAGTGCAGTTCAGGAAGCATAACTGTCCTTGGAGTGTTTTTAAGAGCAGTAAGATTGTTATTACACACTTTGACTGCATTCTAATATGGATAATAAGATGCTGGTGGCTTTAATGGCAGGTTACTTCCAGCCTCTGCTCTAGCACTGTTGCTCTATAGATGCTGATAAAACGGTCATATTCTCCATGCGAGAATGTTGTGATCATTAGTGTGATATTTCACGGTTTCTTTTTCAAGCTCTAGGAATGTTTTCTGCATTATTTTAATAACCAGAAGAGGTAAAATGCTTGTTGCAAGAGGTGGGTCTGAAAGGGCTAAGCAGTGTCTGGGGTGTATCTGGATGAAGTATACCTTATCTAGAAAGGTTGTGCCACCTCGCTCTGATTTTCTGGGGTGATGGAAAGGCAAATGCTGGGAGGTCTCTGCAGAAGGTTCATCAGGTGGGATACCTTCAGGGAATGCTGAATGGAGAAGGGAGACTGGAGTGCTGTGGCAAGCCGTGCCAGTAAGGTGAGTAAAAATAAGGCTTTTTATAGCTTGCTCCTTTCTTCTGCCCTATCTTTCTGTAGCACCCATGTCCAAGTGGTCACCTTTGACAACATGTCGCTGGCCCACACGTCCTGTGGCACAGAAGGCTTCCAGAATGCCAAGAAGGCAACTGCCATCGCGGCACAGACCGCAGCCATGGCAGCAGCAGTGGTGAGTCCACACTGGTGACCCTCACCCTCCTGGAGGGGAGCAGCCACCACCTCCCCAGCACCTGGGTCAGTCCCTCGCTCTGTTCCTCACTGCTTGAGCAGCACGCTGCTGTCTGGGACAGTTCCCCAGCCTCATCTAACACACTGCACATCACACAGACAAAGCGTGTTTGAAACAGCAGAGCATGAGCTTAGCTCTGCAGGTGTGATTGGGAAATGTGACTAACCTGGAGCCTGTCCTTTCCTAGCACGAGTTTGGGTAGCTCCTTTTTTCCTAAGTGAGTATCTCAGCCAGTTTGAAAATGCAGCTCCTGAATCAGCAGCAGGTAGGTTTTTAGCACTGTAGGGAGCTGGGAAGCAGCTGTAATTACTGTCTGAATGGTTTATATTTGCTCTCTGCCACAGAAGCACCAAGCTGCTGGCAGCCAGAGAAAGTCATGTCCTCTCACATGTAGTTTCCAGCTGCACACAGTTTACTGCAGTTTTTTCTAAAACCAGTGGGTGTCCAGGTGGCAGAAGAGGTTGGGGCTGGCTGTGTCACCTCCTCATTACAGCAGCACGAGGTCAGGTTAAACTCATCCTAAATTAGGTGGAACTCGCTCCAGCCTTTTGTGTCAAAGGTGTTTGGTGCCAACAGCTTATTGCCATTGACTTAGAGGAATATAAGAACATCTTCACTCTTAATCTGCGCTCATCACAGCAGTGCTTGGCCAGATCTGTTCTGTCCCTGGTAAAGTTGTTAGCACATTAACTGCACCAGAACAGAGTGAGAGACCCAGAAGAGCTGCATCCACGTGGTGGCAGCATGGCTATGCTTTGCAGCACATTCTCGTTTTCAATTTGCAAGCCCCCAGCATTTTGGCACTGAAGCAGTGGACTCCTGCACAGCAAATATAAAGCTTGTCTGCTTTTCTCATTTACCCTCTAGAAGGAATCCACTGCTCACAGGAGAGAAGTCGCCGCATTAGAGAAGGAAAAACAGCTTTAAGTTAGTCCCTTGCCAGTTCAGTCATGTATCCATGGATATGTCATTTTCTGCCCTGGCTTTAGGTCACAGATAGTTTGATTTCTCCTTATGCAGCTCTGAAAGCTTGGCACAGTTCTGAAACTGCCATGGCTATAGCCAGGTTCCTTTTCTCCTAGCATCTTTGCACAATAATCCCCGTATTTGCTTTCTGTACCCATTACTACCTACTCTTTACTTACAGAATACTATGCCAGTGGTCAGAAGGGAACGGAAGAGCCCAGGGGAGCCAGAGCAGCAGTAGTTAGATCACAGGGAACACTAATCAGTTATTCCTTTTGCAGAAAGCCCACGGGAAAGGTGTTGTGCATGTACGAGTCATGGTGAAAGGACTGGGACCGGGACGCAAAGTAGGTGCCAGTTTCTTTCCACATTTTCCTTTCTCAGGCATCATCCAGGGATTTTAAACTCTGGCTGGTCCCATGACTGTACCTGTGAACTTGGCTCTTCTGAAGGTGATGTAAAGAATTCATCACTCAAGTGCCTAGTAATGGCCTAGTAATGAAGTTTTCGAATTTCAGAGTCATGTCACTTTGGAGGCAGAACAAAAGGTGTATTTGGGACTTCTTTCAAGTAGGAAAATCGATGGGAATGCCAGTGAAAGGACTGGAGCAGAGAGGTTTAAACTGGGCTCTCTGACACAAATTACTTAGTTTTAAGATAATTACAAAGTAGAACCACTGGAACAAGTTGATTTTCAGACAGGGGACCAAGCTGTTTTTCCTGAGCTTTCTCCCCTCTCTCTGCTGTTCACTGTGTCATCTGCTGTCTTGTTCTTCTAGGCCGCCATCAAGGGTTTGACAATGGGTGGTTTGGAGGTCATCTCCATCACTGACAACACCCCAGTGCCACACAACGGCTGCCGCCCTCGGAAGGCCAGGAGAATGTGAGGGGGGAGTGGAAGATACACACAGTGTTCAACATCAGTTCATGCAGCAGGGGCTGAACGTTGCTCCTGTGATAGGTTCTGGGAATCCACCCTCCCTGGAAATACTTGTTAAGGGAAGCTTGAAGAAGAGAGACCATCCTGGGCCTTAAAAGCCCAGGTGGTAAAAGCAGGAATATGTGTACTTCCGTAGTGGGAAGCCTCTTGTGTGTAAAGTTTGTTGATTAAAATGTTGGTCTTTTGACAGCCATCCCTGCTGTGTTCACAGAAGTATTTTGGATTATCATTGCCTCTCGACTGCTCTCTTCCTCTTACCACCGTATGTGGCTCTTGTCTAGCCCTCTGTGCTATTATTGTCCTTGTTAAATGAAGGGGAGCTTGAGGTCTAGATCTCCTTCTAGTCTTGTGTAGTAAACAACTGCATGGGGTCACATCATCTTCCTTCCCTCCTTCTCTTACTGGGGTAACACTTCCCTTCCCCTGGCTTACAGAGGCCAGGGTGTTGTGCAAGAAGCAACTCCCTGTCTGGATCTGTTACTGGCAAAGAGCTGCTGTGCTGCTTTGTTAAACCCAAGCTGTAGCTGCTCTGCCAGTGCTGCTGGAAAACACCAGTCCTAAAGGGGCCGGGATCTTGCCAGCTTTCTGGCAGCCTCTCTGCTCCTGCCTTGTGCACCATGAACTCTATCTTCTGGGGTCCTGGGGAAAGCAAGCAGGGGGGCAGTAGGCCTGAGGAACAATGAAATGCTGAAAGGAGATTTAAAACACTTAAGTGTTGAACTGTACCACTGTATAGCCACAGGCAGCATGGGCATGTCATGGGGCTGTGATGTATTATTGCTGTCCCAGCTCCATCCAGAGAGAATTTCTGCCAAGGTAATATGTCTGAGGCTCTCTGGAGCATTACCCAGGGAAGGCAACAGCAGTAACTGCCTACAGGATTGATTTTCCTGGATAGCAGAGGCAAAGGGCACCTCCCCAAAATCCTGCTGCCGGAGAAGCCCTGGCCGCATCCAGCACACTCTGGGCAAGCATATCACATGTAAACAGAGCATTTTTTGGTGCAGGCAGCAGTTCTATCACAAACCCAGAATCTTCCTTTCTATTATTTCTCTTTCTGTCATTCCTCCTTAGTTTCTTAAATTGCATAATTAACTATTCTCTTCCTCTTTAGAGAAGGGCTACCATGGCAACGAGGCAGTGAACCTCCTTCATGGGGCTGAATGGCATACGGCAGGTTTTGAAAGAAATCTGTCTGCTTAGAAGAGCCTCCTGAGTTGTATTTGACAGAAGAGGAGAAAATAAGATTCAGGTGAACCCCCTACCTCACTCCAGCTATCTCAATTTGATTAGAGGGTAAGTTATCTTAAAGGGAAGCTCCTTGAGCTGTCACAGATTTGACAGCGAGGAAGAGAGGCTCTTCCATAGATGTTTGACACACTAAAAGAGCTTCCCCCTCACTCCAGAAATATGGCTGAGCTTCAAGTGACTTCATATTCCTCTTTTAAAGGAGAAGATATTCAGGTCAGCTATAAACTGCAAAGCTCAAACCTCCCAGGTCCGAGGTAGCTGGCTGGGGAGAGCATGCATGAGAACTGATGTGCCTTAAGCAAAGCTGGACTGGCTTCTGTGCTGCGCACAGTGACCAGCCCTGGAAGGGAGGAGCACCAGTCTGCACTGGCAAGCTTGTCAGTGATGTACTGTCTAACACCCAGAGAAAACCAAACACTAACCCCTCTCTACCACAAGCTGCTCATTGCATCAATACAGAAATGCCCACGTCAGATAAAGATGAGAGAACAAACTGAAAAATAAGATTGGGAAGAGATCTGCAGTCTCTGAAATTCAGGGAAGAGGAGGTGGGTGACTTGAGAGTCAGAAAGCAACGAGAATAAAGCTTCGTCTTATCCAGGCTCAAGGCTGTGCCCTTTGTAAAGGCCACTCTTGGTTTCTGAGTATTTGTGAACATTCATGAAGTCTACCAATACACTGCTGCTGCTTACACAGTGGTAAGTTTTACCTGCCTAGTTCTGGTAGCTCCCCTACTTCCTCCTCTGACACTCAACAGCACTGAGCTGGAGAGAAGAGGCTGGCACTGCTCTTCATGGCCCAGTGGCTGGGTCTGTACAGTATCATGCACTATTTGCTTTCCAAACCCCCAGCTCCACATCCTCAGCTCTCCAGCACGGTGCTCCAGGTGTGCAGCTTCCCATAGAAGACACACTTTGCACTTACCTTCCCTCCTGGAACACCCCCGAAGCCAAATCCTCACTTAACGCTCAGTCTAAGCTGTTGATTCTGCAGCACATCCCAGGCCTCTGGGGCAGTGGTCAGGGAAGCAGGAGAGCACAGCAGGCAGGGCAAGCTCTCCCACCCTGCACAAGGCCTGAGTTGCTCCTTCCTGCATATACTATAGGGAGGAAGAAGATTTAAAGCTCTCTATTGTTCGTCCTGCAGGGGATGAATAGACACCAACAGCACTTTATGATTTCCTTACCCTTCAGATCTAACTGTGAAGGGCCTGGTTTTAGTCAGCCACTGGTGTTCACCAGTTCTAACTAATTTTCTTAGCACCTCGGTGGAATCCTGTTTTCTACTGGCTCACATTCCTCCTGTGCAGCAATTGCTTCACTTGTCAGCAGCACAGCCACAGCATTAGCACCCTCATTAGGGTCACATCCTCTCCCTAGGGCTTCCCCTTTGCTTTGGGATATTTTCTCTCCACTCCCTCCTAACTTCTGATTCCCTACCCTCAAATAAGCCTTTTTCTGTGAAACAAGCTCTGAAGCTGTTACTGACTGCAAAGCTTCACCCTGGTTCAACCCTGGTCTCTCTGGGGCTTTGCCCTTCATTTCAAAATACCACATACCCTCCATTTCAAAACACATCCATTTCAAAATACCCCCTGTACGTATATTTCATCATACAGGGGGTGAAATACAAACCAGTCTTCTGATCTACAGATACAATGCTGCCTCAGGTCTGCTTACCTCATAATGAGGCCCATTCCATCTTGGGGAGTTGATGTAACTCAGTTACCCTTCCTTTGGACAGGGATAGCACCTGGTGGCTTGGAAAAATAGCCCCCAGCCTTCTCCCTAATAGTACATTATTCTGCAGAGAGGAATTATTTCCCTATCCCCAGCAACAAGGACTTTCTACCCAGAGCTGCAGCTTTATGTACCGAATTGGTGATTTACTATTTCTTATGTGAGCATCTCAACAACAGGACTCGGGCAGCCAATTTCAATCCCTTTGTGAGATTCAATTAAAGCAGTAAGCGATGGCAGTGTCCTTCAACAGCTGACTGCACGTACAGGCCAGTGAGGAGAGGGGGACTAATAACCTGGAGCAGCTAATAACCTGGAGCAGCAGGGGTGGTTTACTACAGCCCCACTGCTGCGGATGTTTGCAGCTCTTGCTGGCTTTCCCTCTGCTGTGGGGATACCTGGCTGGAGATGTGCACAAACTAGGGTGGTGAGTGGAGCTCTCAAAGGCTCAGGAGCCTTTGGGAAAGAAACAGTTCAAGTTAGGTGATATTTTTGCACTGCTTTCCTGCCTCCTGTCCTTGCCTGGCCACTCTTCCCCTCACAGCTGCCCCTCTAAGCTCAGCCCATGACCCTTCAGACAAAAAAAAGAGATCAAGGACCCTCAGATTGTTTTTGTGCTTTTCCAATGCTCTCCTCTCCCCTCAAGAGGCATTAATGGGTACTCAACAGCAGTGGGAACTGCTCAGAGGTTTTACTAATGAACTGCCTAATAGTACCCAAGTTCCCGTGCTGATGCTGAAGCTGGGCCATGGGGTCCTCTTGGGTAGCTGCAGATGAAGCCAAGCTTCAAAACTATTCCTTTTTGTTTGATTCATGCTTCCTCCTCTGTGCTTTCCAAGCTTTCCCAGCCAGTGTCACTCGGCAGGGCCCCTTCATCCCTCTGGAGCTCGTAACTCTCTACCTGCACCCCATTTATGGAGGATTGGAGGCTGTGCCCCTGGACCCAAACCTCTCTGCAGCCATGAAGCCCTGACAGCTATTGCTGGGGAGAGCTGCTCCCAACAGAGGCTTCACAGCTTGTGTTTGTAAAGTGGATGCTAAGCGAGGATGGGGCAATAGAAAGGTGGGTCAGGAAAGGGAGAGAACACAGAGGGGAAATGCAGGAAGAGAAAACAGAACATAAAAGTCCTCCCCAAAAATACTTTCTCCCAGCTGGTGGTCCAAGAGTCAGAACATGAGGAGAAGGGTGCAGGGAAGGGCTCTCCAGAACGGGGCTAGATGTGCTCCCCTTTTTGCTGCTACCCCTGCCAGACCCCCAAGTCAGAAGCACAGGGCGGCCTTGCCCAGGAGCCCCCCTGCCAGCATGACCAGCCCTCTGGGGCCTCCACTTCACCATTCTAAAGGCAGCACAAAGCTGTATTTAGAAACTGCTCCAAAGCCTCTCCAAGGGGCAATGGCAGTCCTCAAAACCGGCTCTGAAATCCCTCCTCTGTGCTTTTCACCTTAACAATTCACTTTGCAAAGCCAAACTAAGCCTGGGACTGATAACCTGCTGCACCTCCCAGCCACATCACTCGAGACTCCAGCTTTTGGCCCTTCCTCCCTCTGCTTGCTCCTCAGTGCAGGAGCAGACCAGGCTTCCCACCACACACAGGACACCAGGTAACAAATAGAACCTGGGGCCCCGGGCAGGAGTAAGACACGTATTTCATCCCCCAGCCCCTTCAGCAGGTCCCAAAGTGAGATGGTGAAACAAGGCTCTTGTTTGTTCATGCACCAACCTGCAGGCAAACAACCTGCTCTCCTAATTTCCAGCCATGTCCGGGCCTGGATGCTGCCTATTGTTTTGTTCCTATTGAACCCATAGAAGGAATTTATCAATCTCCTGAGCTGCCAGGGTCAACCTGACCAAGGAATGCAAACAGCTTTAGATGGACCAATCCTCTGGGTTTCTCTCTAATGGCAACGGTGGGAAGCAGCTGGGAGATGCTCCGGAACAATCTGCCCTTGGACATGG